ATGTATTCGCTCGAATCTAGGAGGCCACTGATGCAAAGAGCGGAGTACAACAAAAGGGTTATTTTAAGCCCAGCCGAAGCCAGGATATCGTGGAAGTGTGCTGCATCTCCCAATTTGATGATCGTACACTCCCAAGATCCAACAGTCATCGTGTCAGCAGCTAGATGAATCACACAAAACAGCAACACATACACTGCCATAGCTCCACACATGCCCTCGCCCGAACCTAGGAAGCCACTGATGCAAAGAGCGGAGTACAACAAAAGGGTTATTTTAAGCCCAGCCGAAGCCAGGATATCGTGGAAGTGTGCTGCATCTCCCAATTTGATGATCGTACACTCCCAAGATCCAACAGTCATCGTGCCAGCAGCTAGATGAATCAAACAAAACAGTAACACATACACTGCCATGTTCGTGAGTTTGCGAACATTGCTGTTGGATACATGTGCTGGATGATACCTCTAGGCCATGTAAGACCTGCTAATTTGTTTTTGTTCCGCTTCCTTCCCTCTCTCTCCGGTCCTCCATTGCGATGTGCGCCCTTCGCGCTACATGCTCATCTCTAGATCTAGGTCGCTGTCAAATACACGCGTTGGAACTATAAGTCGCTCCTGCCGAAATGAAGGCGCGGTACCCTGCGCAAAATACAGGATAGGGTTTGTAGCGCTTTTTCCGAGAGTCCGCCCCCTTGCTATTATTAGCGGTGTCATGGGCAAGTGGCAGTAAATAGGTGTCGTGTACTGCTGAGTTTTCGGACGTCACGAACTCACCATCTGCCCCTGTTTCTGCCCCCTGTTTTGAATGTGTTTTTCGTTGGTGCCTTTCGTCTGCTCGCTTGTGGAAAACGCAGACGACTGCAGCCTCTTCGACGGCACGCTCAAGAAGTGCTACGCGAGAGGTCAGGAACAGCGCCGCGAGCTCAAGATATACACTCAGCACTTTAACACGTACGTCGATGCAGAGTGGATTTCTGGGAGTGTCGTGTGTACTGGTCGGTTCAGGAATGTTCTTAGATTTCTGATTGTGGGCCAGTCTAGTCCTGGAGCGATACTGAACTTTTAGTGTTGGCACCTCTCCACGTGGCGCACTCCGATAGTCGGAGAAGGCTTGACCGTATCCTGCCTCAGAGTAGGCTACCAGTCGACTTTTTGGTTGTTTACGCCATGTAAAAGCGAAACTCTCGTCGAGGTTGTTAAGGTAGCAGAGGACCCTGGGGTCTTAGTCTCACTTCACGTGGGTAGTCATACGTGTGCTTGGTGGTTGGGTAATAGCAACTTAGTGCATCGCTGCACACCGACGTGCCGTAGAAAAATACGGAGTAGGAAGACGCGTTTAATTTATTTGCGATTATTATTATTGCTATTTTTGTTATTATTATCATGTGTTAAGTGGAGTATTTATTTTTGCCCGTGCTGGAACTAGGCTTGGCTAGCTAGCCCATACCACCGCCGTCCCGCATTTCCTACTGTCCATCTTTCGTTTCTGGTGCCTGGGTACAAAAATGGAAGTAGGAGCATTGCTTCGTCTCATTGCTCTTGGAGAAGAACAAGGCACCCACCGTCTCACCGCAGGCACTACTGCTGTATGCCCTGCCCTCCTCCCCGCTCCGGCATATGCAGGGCGACAAACGAACACGGACAGCCAAAATCGGGGCAGCAAAACGGTGACCTCATGGTGGAGGTCATCGTTTAAATGCCTGAATGAAACCATCGCACAGTCCTCCTACGCCGAGAGGCGGAAGGCCCGGATCGACGAGCTGAGGACCCTGGAGCAGATGCTGAGGGGGGATGGTATGACGGCGGATGCGGAGGAAGTGAAACGCCAGAAATACCACCTGCTCCTTAATCCGGATGCGCCGCTTGGCGGTGGTGGGGCTGCCGGCGCCGTCGGTGGTGCCGGAATGGCTTTTTCCGGAGGCGTGGGCGTGGGCATGGCGCTTGGCGGAGGAGGCGGTGCCGGTGTGCCCACCGCTGGGAACACGGGGGCGGGCGTCACGCTTGGCGGTGGAGGCGCTGCCGGGAGCGTCGGCGGTGGAGGAACGCCCATCTCTGGGAAGACGACGCCGGGCGTCGGGGCGGGCGTCATGCACGGCGGTGAAAGCGCTGCCGGAAGCGTCGGCGGGGACATATCCGCGGGCGATATGATTTCCATCGAGGGAGATAAGAGCGACGCTGACGATCTCGACGACGACGACGACATAGACATGGTAGGCGGTGATGATGACGGTGGTGGCGGGAGTGTGGCTGCCTTCGAAGGAGCTCGCGGCGGCGTCGGCGGTGGCGGTCAGGGAGGGGGCTCCGGCAAAGGACACGCGCCGCAAACGCCGCGGTGCGAGGAACATGGAGTCGAGTGCGCGGTCTACGTTTCTGATAGTGTGAGTCTCGAGATCGCGTCTCAGGTTGATGGTACTGGAGTGTAGGGTCGCCCGCCTCTGGATGGCGTACAGCCTGATGTACACAGGTAGTAGTCATGCTTGGGGTGTTCGCGTTCAGTGTCGTGCCGACTCTTGCGTTTGGTCTCCAACCCTCACCCGAACATGCTGTACCCCACTCCCGTGCGTGAAAAACACCCACCCGCTCAGGGCGCTAAGACGTGGATCTGCGGCTTGCCCAGCATAGTCGACCAGTGCGACCACTTTGGCCTGGTGGAGGACGCCCCGTCTCCAGCCGTACCCGCTGCCGCCAATGACGAAGACATCATCTTGGTAAACGGGAGTGGTGGCCGCGCCGACGAGCGGAACGAGGGAGCATCTGCCGGTGCGAGCTCCTCGAATACCGCCGGTGCCTCTGCTACTGCCGCCATCGACGTTGACGGGGCTGCCTCCGGCGGCGTTGCGGGGGGACAGGACGCATCGACGGGTGCGGGTGTTGTTCCCGCCGCCGGTGTCTCGTCCACTGCCGCTCAGGGTGTCGGCGGGGTTGTTTCCGTGGGCGGTGCTGCCGGCGGCGTTGCGCTAGGACAGGGAGCCTGGGCCGGTTTCAATGTGACTCCCGCCACCAGTGCCTCGTCCACTGCCGCTCAGGCTGCCGGCGGGGTTGTTTCCGTGGGCAGTGCTGCCGGAGGCGTTGCGGGGGCACAGGGAGCCTTGCCCGGTGCGGGTGTGGCTCCGGCCGCCGGCGTCTCAACTACTGCCCCTCAGGCTGCCGGCGGGGTTGTTGCTGTGGGTGGTGCTGCCGGCGGCGTTGCGGGGGGGCAGGGAGCCTCGCCCGGTGCGTGTGTGGCTCCCGCCGTCATTGCTACAGCGGCTGACACGGCAGCCGCTCAACGAGCCCTGGGCGTCGACCATGCTGGGCAAGTGACCGGTGCAGCTGCGGCGTACATGGCCGCTCAACGCGCCGCCCTTAGTGGTGGACTATATCGGTCATGAGCTCCGTCGACACGAGCAGTAGTGGTCTGTAGGGTTAGGCCGGATGGTATCATCTTTTGGGTGGAACTTCACCGCTGAAAACGAACAGGCGGTTTTCCTGTGATCGGGCGTTTGGGGTGCGGGCAGGAACGATATTGAAAGTGCGTCGTCCGTCGCGGAGGTTTTTCCCGGCGTCTGCATACAATAGGTGTCGGTCCTTTTTACTCCGTCGTTTTGTTTTCTTACGTGTCTTCTCTTTTGATGTTGCCTGGATGAAGGCGGTTTGATGTAACCTATCGTCGTTGTCTCGGGGTCAACACCATGTAGTGGAGTCGTTGTTTCGGACACCATGACTGATTCGGACATTTCAAACAAACGAAAAAATCCACACCCTGTACAACTACTTTAGTTGTCAGTTGTCTGGCAGACAACTATTTCTTGAACAAGCTGCGCCACTAGCTGCCTGCAGACAACTACTGTTTGGAAAAGCTGCGCAACTAGTTGTCCGCAGACAACTATTGGGTAGTTGCTGCCCTGCACAACTAAAGTTGTAGTTGCCAGTTGCAGTTGTACAGGGTGTGAAAATATCCGATCAAATTTATCACATGTATTACGCATCCCTACAGAGCACGACGCACCAAACCCTCCCGGCGCTGCGACGATGCCCCCTAAAAGGGACAAGGGTGCAGATAAAACACTAACCCAAATCAATTAACCCCCTCTCCACACTGCCTCCATCATCATTGCTAGGGGACACTCACAGCGACCTAAACCCCTCAGCAACGAGAAACCACAGGACACTCATCAACCCACCTACAACACCACCTACAGCAAACTAAACCCCTCAGAAACGAAAAACCACAGGACACTCATCAACAACACAGAAGGTGGATCGGGCAAGTAAGGCTTCGTCCCGATACCACCAACACCCTCCGAACAACGACCACACAGCCATCGCGCATGTGTGCTACAGTACCAATGCGCAAGCGTCAAGAGTCTATCACCATCTCTTCCACCCCACGGTCCCCTGCTCCCATCGGTAACCAAAGTTGGCCACCAACTTTTGCCTTAGTTGCTCGAAGTCGTTGTCCCGCTCGACCACCTCCGCCTCGACCTGAGACGCAAGCCTGGGCGCCTCAGGGTGCACGATGTCGTCGTCGAGCTCGCCGTCTGCTCCCGCCCAGTCGCAGTCCGCCTCCAACAGCTTGATGTCGTCGTAGGCGAGAAGCATGTTGTGCAGGATGAGGCACGTGAAGAAGACGTTGTCGATCCTTTCCCTCTTCCTGTAGAGGAAAGCCATCTTCAAGATCCTGAAACGCCCCTTCACGACGCCAAAGCAACACTCGGCGTCTTTGCGGACGCTCTCGAGCTGCCTCTTGAACCCCGTCTCCATCTTGTTGGAAGGGGCCTTGATGGGACACTGGAGCTGCCTCCACTGAGCAAAAAAACATTGGCGGGTGGGCGGGTGGGTGTGGGCGTGAGTTATGTTGTGGTGGGTGTAGCACTGATGTCAAAGGAGACACGCGACGACGGCAAGCCAAGGAGTCAATTTTACATCCCGTGAGACGACGAGGAACGCTAACAGGACCACTCGCCAACATGCCTGTAACACTCGTCAACATGCCTGTAGCAAGGCACGTGGCTCGCACAACATATTTGGAGGTGATGGCACCGCGGGAACATCTCCCATGACGGTGGAAGCAAGAGGGTGAATGAAACATGGGCGCTCTCTTGCGGCCACGACGAACCCACCTTACCATGGTTGGTGGGGGGCGATCGGAGTACGTCAACACACTGAACACTGATCGTACATGAACGTCGACTGCAATACAAAGAAACACATCCACTCCCCCCCCCCAAAAAAAAAAAAGAACCAGACGGCACAAAACAAGAAGGCATTTTCGGAAGAGCGGAGCAGCTGGGTCGAACAGGTGACCACCGATTGGTCCGTCCGCAATACTGCAGTACCAACATCAAACAGCACGCGTGTGTTCAACCATCTTTAGAACACGCCAGCTGCTCTGCCCAACGGCGGCTCGTATCCTCACGAACACGACGGGACATCAACTCCGGCGCCACTCTATACCATCAACTGCCTGAACTACGAATACGATGCACTCACGTAGTGGTATCCACCGTCCACGATCAACCATGGCCCTTTCTCGTGCACGTCCTCCCCGTCTTTGCCCTTCAGAGTGTACTCCACGTCCTTGTACCACCCGTCTCGAACCGAGTTGGCGAACTTGTCGAACCTCACGATGGTCTTGTCGTTGTGGGCGCCGGGAAAGCCCCGCGTACACGACATCACGCGCAACTCGTGGCTGACGACTACATTGTACACGATCGTCGGGTACCCTTCCTTGCCGATGAACGACGGGCGCTGGCTGTATGGACAAAGCGTCCATTCGATGTGCGTGCCTCCATCGAGCCCATCGCGCCCGTCATGCCGACCTCGTCGTAAGTCTGCATGATCTCCTTCAGCTCCTCCCGGTTCGGCATCTTCACCCATCTCGGGTAGAAGTCGCGAGCGAATCTCGCCGTGAAGCTGTGAAACAGGTGGTTCACCGTCGCCTCCCCCATGCCGGTGAACTCGGACACGTCGTCGAAGTAGTTGCCTCTGCCCAGTATGCGAAGGACCGCCAAGACCTGGTTCGTAGATCGCCACGAACAACAGATTAGGGGATAGGCGGCCTCATTAGGGGTGGAACGACATTTCGGCGATGTTTTAGTAGCGGCGCATAAAAAAAAAGGAGAAAGTTCGTCATTTTGGGGCTGGCCTCTGGTGGCAACGACTGCGTTTCCCACGCCGTTTCTTGCTGTAGGTGCCCAAGCAAGTGCAGGAGTGCAGAGTTGTCGTCAACTGCATCTGGTGGCAAGAGCTAACTCCGCTGTAAATACTCCGGAAAGTTATGCCTTTTTCTAGATTCATTCGTGGAATGCTGCTGTAAGACATGATTCAGCAGCAAACCCTAACGGTCATCATGTCGTGAGCAGCAGGAGCAGCAGCGGCAGCAGTACGAGTATTGCAAGGGAAGGAGGAGAACCACGTGCTGCGGACAGCATATCTTTCGATCGCGTACGTAACTATGTGTCATGCCTTACTGCAAAATTAAAACACCAACGGCCAAAAATAGCCCGCATCAAACACACTCTGATGAGCACATCTAACTCAGCAGCAACGAACGCCCCATCAACCGTTGCGAGGGAATCTCTCTGTCATCTCCTTCGCGGGTGTACGCTGATCTGATGAGTACAGTCACGGCATTGGGTGTACGAGCCACACGGCAGCAAACGCGCGTGTGGGATGACAGAGCGCGCACCAGTACACTGCTGTACAGCAGCTGCTTGCGTGGTGTGCGTGATGTGTGTGGGTGTTCTGCAGTGTGCCGCTACCAACAGGCTCTGCCACCGGCCCTTTCCTGCTCTCGGTGTTGCCTGCGAGCTATGTCGTGGGGGCGTGTTCCTGTTTTCGTACAAGGTCGCGCAACATTACCGACGAGAAGCGCCAACACCAAAAAAACGCCTTTTTCCCTGGCATGGAATACTCGCATCTTGGTTCTGGGGAAGGGGCGGGGGGGGGGGAGGGGGAGCACCTGCATAGTTGCCCATGGCCGTCCATGTTTGGTTTTGATGTGATACCTGAAGAGTTCGTTCCCCCCTTACTGTCCTTGCAAATTCCTTCCGTTTTCGTGTTCATGCATGGCATTCCGTGGTTTGTACGCCGAGAATTCCTTTGTGAGCAAAAAATACACCCTTTTTCACGCATGAATGGCGTGCCCTTGACACACGTCGCGTGAGAGACACAGCGGCACAGCGGCTAGTCGCAAGTACAAACGAGGGGCGCAACAAGGAAGATTGCACATCCCGCACCGCTGTTGAGGAGGTGAAGAGGGAGAGGCTAGGGCGACCTGTGTTCCGCTATGTGTGTGGTGAAACACAACCGTTTCAGGGTGGATGGAAGTAGAAGAGACACCCGCTCAACGTGTCTATCCCTGCCGCCGCCTTCATATACAGTTTGTCCCTTACCACCACGTTCGCTCAGGAGGACCGACGCGTGAATCTAAGTGCTACAAGGCTACAACAGCCCCGCTCACTTCCAACTCCCTCCCTTCGTGCCAAGAGCAGGAAACGCACTCGGCTTCCGCTACGTAGGGTACGCCTGCATGTGCCTGGCTCAGATGATGCGGAGCTACGATGCTTTTCGAGGTGCTTTTCCTTCTTTTTTTGGTCTGCCCCAGATTGAACCCTGACTCAAAAGGCGCCGTAGCGACGTGTTACAACCCTATGTTCCTCACAAACTAAGTCACGCTATTGTAGGGCATGCGCGTCAACACACTCCACACACCTTGATCTCCACGGGGATGCAGCGCCTGCTTCCTCTCCCGCCAAGCTCAAACTCGTCGGTCGTGAAATCAGGCCAGTTCCCCGCCTTCACGTCGTCTACGAGGGAGACGAAGAAAGGGTAGGGCACGCGAAACCTCCGGCGGAACTGCTTCGCTTCTCTCGTCGTCGGGTCCATCAGGAGGTCTGTCTTCTCTAGCATTTTAGCCCAAGGCATGCTGCGGTAGTCCGCTCTAGGCACGACCTGCCTTCGGCGTTTGGGGGGAGGTTCATCCTCATCTTCACCATCCTCCTGGCGCAACCGCCGCCGCAACGCGCCCATCAACAGCTGCTGTTGATGATGAAGCGCGGCAAGCGCCAACGCGAGCACGGTCAAAACCGCACGAAGCTCCAGCAGGCGCACCATGCTCTCGCTGAAACTGCCCACTGCTGTTGTGTAGTGTGGTCGATCTCGAGCGTCGATTCAAAAAATAGGTGCCTACCACTAAACATTGCACGTATCCCCCAGGATTCCAGGTTGGAATTTGCCCTGCATCGAGTTGGAATCCGCGGCGGATTCCAGCTCGATCCGGCCGAAATTTTCCAAATTGGAATTGTTTGGGATTCCCGCGGCTCCATAACTTAGGATATTTTGGAATTCGGGGGGTTTCATGGGAAACTTTCCCCAGGTGGGTAGGCATTTTTTCACGGAGCCCCCCAAAATTCCAATTTGGAATTCCCCATAACATTTGGCCTTACCCTATAAAAAAGGTACACTCAAATAAAGTGGCCCCGAGGGGTCCGCAAGTCAAAAGAAATCAACGGCAGATATTCTGGAGTCCTCCACTCCCTCTGCGCGCTATGCGAGTTAACAACCGAGACTAGGAGTCACCATCACGGGCCGGAGAGAATGAGGTAGAGAGGACAGAGAGATCATCGGAACGGTTTTAACTGCTGTGGAGAAAACAACAACAACAACAACAACAACAACAACAAGATCTCCCCGCAGAACTCCTCTGCGAGCCAAAAAATGAAAAGTCTGTGGGTATGTAGGTAGTCTTTCTGTGTGTTATTTGTTTCTCCTAAATACCCGAAGACCCACACCGCTGATCAGAACCATTTCCATTCCATTTTTGAACACCCCGTTCCTTTTTCCTTCTTGCCAGTGCCTCTATTTTTTTGCAAGCACACACACACATCATCATCCTTGGTTACTCTCAACTTTCAACTCTGCGGGACGAAATACCCCGCCGCCGGACGACCCGTAGCTGCTGCTTTCGGTCAGCGGTTAGCCTACAGGTATGCAGGTGTGAGCGTAACACAACTATACCATACTGGTACGCATTTGCTCTGGTCCCGGCGTCCCCGCTGCCGAGGCGTCAACGGTGGACATTTTCTTTCACACGGCGGCGAAGTATGGACCCAAACCTCGTGGGGCCAAGTAGGTGCGGCCATCCTGGCTGCTCCAAGCGTCCGACGTACGGCATCGAGGACAGTGCGGGGAGCAAAAGGGCTCAATTCTGTGCCCCGCATGCAAAGCCAGGAATGGTCAATGTCTCGAGAAGGAGGTGTGCGCATGTCGGTTGTATCAGACACCCGTCTTTCGCAATCAAAGGAAACAAGTCGTTGTTGTTCTGCCTGCAGCACTTCACGGACGGGATGGTGGACATACACAACATCCGGAGGTGCGCTCATGAGGACTGTGTCAAGCACCCCACGTACGGCGTGCCCGGGACGAGGAAGGCTGAATTCTGTGCGCCTCACGCTTTGGATGGCATGGTGAGTGGAAGTTGTGTGCTGTTTTTGTTGGTAAACTTTGGTTCACCAGCATCAACTCAATCTCTGACCCCTCCAGATGAACCGCAAAGAAGAGCATCCCTGGCACCCTGCGTGCTCTTGTGACGGAACTTCGCAGAGTGGTGCTGGCGTCACTGCCCAGTCTCCTTACGCAGTTGCCGCGTTGCACTCACGCTGGTGTCCTCTGGCAGGCAATAATTTGTCCGATTGGTTGTGGCGTGCTCTTGAACGAACGTAAAATTATTTATCCCGTTGGTGCAGTTTGCAGTTTGTGGTAGAGCCGAATCTCCGCCCCTGCTTCCCGTGTGGTTTTACCTATTATAGTAGTCGCTACTCGTACGGCAGCAGCGTAGGATTTCTGCGCATACACCCAGCGTAGTGATTCCAGCACGCATGGTGAAGCATGATGAACGGGGCCGGCTGTCGTCTCATCGTGATTGCAACAATAGAGCCTGTGAGCGGAGAGTTGCGGTGTCAATGAATATATGTACACGTGATGTGCGCCTCTGGGCAAGTGCGGTCCATCGGCCGATAACGTGCGTGTAGTCGTAAGAATCCAACGATTATCAGGCGGCCGAAAATGAAAATCGAACATGACTACATCATGCAGTGAGGGCGGACTTTTCGATAGCATCCTCGGCAGTTCTTTCAGGAATGAATCGAAATGCCAGGGCAGCGGTTTTGGAGCGTATTTACTCGAAGCGTTTGCGAAACACGCGAATGCATGTAAAGTGCAAGAAATTGGTAGTCGCCGACCGAGGAGGGCTAGCTGCAAGCGATGTTTGCCGTTGCTTCACTTGTTTCTGACGTTCATCCAACCTAATATTTATTTCCTTCTCTGTTGAAACTCCGAGCACTGCTCCGTATCACCTGGTATATTGGTTGACATTTTTTTTTTGGTGAAAGGGTTGATTCCGGGAAAGAATGCGTGTTCAACACTCGTCGGAACTATTCCGGTGCCAGTCCAGGTACGCACCTTTGGGGTGTGTAAGCAGATTTCTGATGACCAGCCGGCGTCACCAACGGCCTTTTTCATTGATAAATTAAGAATGTGTCTCTTCCACATGATAAATTTAAAAATCACGGGCAGGTTTAGTACAGTACAGTATTTTTATTCCAGTATTTAACTGCGTACTAAAACGTCCAGTACAGTACAGTACCGAGAGCCGTGCTGCCAGTACAGTATATTCCAGTATCGAGAGCTGTACTGGAGATTGCAGTATTTTTATTCCAGTATTGAAAGCTGTACTAAAACGTCCAGTACAGTACAGTACCGAGCGCCGTGCTGCCAGTACAGTATATTCCAGTATCGAGAGCTGTACTGAAGATTGCAGTATTTTTATTCCAGTATTGAAAGCTGTACT